TCAGTAAAGTGTTAACTCCAAGGCAAATTCAAGCCAAATGTGTTTTCCGATTGATCCCCACACGGTGCCTGCCACAGCACTTGTATTTTCTACTCCAATGTTTTGTTCTGTTTTTCTCTCCTCCCTCCCAATTGTAAGAGAAGTAAATGTAAAACTCCTGAGCCAACCCAATCAATTCTAAGCCACGTGCTGTAGCTTCCTGGGAAGGTGAAGGAACGGGAACGTGGCGTAGTAGTAAACCGTAGTAAAGAGAGGAGGGAAACAAAATGGGGCACGTCACATGGTCACGGCCTGGATTTTTCTCAATTAAATATAAGAGGAAGTGTGCGTTTCCGGCCTCTGTCAGTGGGCTGGTTGGACTTTCTCATTCTTAGGATTCTGGTCTGGATGCACACTAACAGGGCCGAGTGCACAACATCCTCCGGGAAGGGGGTGGAGGGGGCGTGTGTTTGGCTCGGTTCTCGCGGCTCCAGAGGGAAGGGGTGGCGGGAGAGGGGTAGGCTACAGCCCGGATGCCTGGCCCGCCGCCCACGCCGGACCCCGACCAAGGCCCCCCAGTCGACCCCCTTCACCCGAGGCCCCTCCCCACCGCTGCTGCAGCACAGCCTGCGCTCGCGCTGATTGGCTCTGGCGGGGGCCAATCAGCGCCCGGCTGCCCCGCCCACTCGGGGCCAGTCTCTGCCCCGCTCTGCTGGGGCCAAGGGCTCGGCCGCCGCCGCCGCCGCCCGCCGCCACCGCCCACCACGTCCGCGCCTCCTCGCGGACCCCCGGCCGGTGCCGCCTCGGCAAGTGTTGTCGCCTTCGCCCTTGTTTTTGGAGGTGGGGGGGGAACGAAGACTCGGAGAGTTTTTCTTTTTCTCCTCCACTACCCCCCCCCTTTTTTTTTTGAGAAAGGGGAATTTCGTCCCAAATAAAAGGAATGAAGTCTAGCTCCGGAGGAGGGTCCCCGACCTCGCTGTGGGGACTCCTGTTTTTCTCCGCCGCGCTCTCGCTCTGGCCCACGAGTGGAGAAAGTGAGTATGTGCCCGCCGCCCGCGGCCACTGCGGGAACTTTTCCTCCGAGGGGCTGCGCCCTGTTTGCGAAACCCGAGTTGCCATCGTCGCAGCTGTCGGGCTCCCGGGCTCTGGGGCCTCAGGGCGGGGCGCCGAGGGGCTCGGTCGCAAGGCCGGGGGGGGGACCCCGGGGCCCAGGTCGTTGGTTCGGAGGCCCGCGCGGCCCCGGGCTCGGCGCATCCCCGCGCGGAAAGGGCCTCGGTGGCTCTCCCTTCCGCGGTCCCGAGAGCCCTGCCCCGCGGCCCGGGTGTCTGGGCTGCGCTTCCTGCCCGGCGGCCCGCGGCGGGGCCAGGCCCCGGGGCTCCAGCGGGGAAGTTCGCGCCCGGCCGCCCGCACCGCGCGCCCCTCCCGGCGCGCGGGGCCTCCCGACACGCGGCGCGCGGGCGGCGGTGACAGCTCGCGCGGCGCCCTCGCTCCTGGGGCAGGTTCGGTGCCCGGGGTGGGAGCGGGCAGCCCGCCGGCCCTGGGGCTGCAAGGTGCCCAGGGGGAGGTGCCCGGCGGGGAGGCCCCGCGGCCCCAGGACAGGTTCCATACATTCCAGCGCGACCTCCTGCCGCTCGCCACGCTTGGCCCCTTGGGCTCTTTGGGTTCCTGGCTTTCCCTGTCGCTTTCGCTCTCCGGCCTCCCGGCGCTGTTCAGTGCGACTGGGGGTGCGGGGAGCGTTCCCGCTTACATCTCGCACCGCTCGGTGCAGCCCTTGGGAAAGGGTGAAGTCGGGGGCTCGGCGTCAGGCGGGCTCTTCCGGACAGCGCGTCCGGACCCCTAGTCCCGCCGGCCCCGCGCCCTCGGGCGACCGGCGACGGACCGGGTGGGAGTCTGAGGGTAGCCTCCGCCTCGATACTAACCCCTCCAACCCCGGGCCAAAAGGGCTTGTAGGAGGGAGGGGGAGCCAAGTGCCAAATAAATAGAGAGGCATGCAAGAAGCAAAGGTGACCGTGGAGATGAGAAAGTGCCAGACAAAAAGGCCACACAGCGAGGTGACAGGAGGGAGCAACGGGGAAGGAGAGATGGGAGGCAGACTTGGAAGTAGGAGTCCTGGAAATCACAGCTAGGAAATGCAGTGGAAGGAAGAAAAATGGACTTTTTCCCCAAGGGGACAGAACAAAATGACAAAAAAAAAAAAAAAAACCACCTAAAATAGATGGCAGGAGTCTGTCTTTGCCAAAGCCTGCTCTACCTGCCCAGCTGCAGTTTCCAAACAAAACAAACTTGTAAACGCTGGTTGAAGATAGCTGGCTGCTGTGCCCTTTCTGCCCTGCTTTCGGGGCTCTCCATTAACTCTGGGGAGAGTAGGCCACAAGTACTGCGAAATTCGGAAATGGAGCCAAAGAGAGAGAAAAAGAAAAAAAATAGACAATGGCAGGAACATTAAATAAGAGGTGGGAGACAAGGGGGGTGGGAGAGGAGGGTACCGGGAAAAAAATCCAGCAGGTTAGAACCCAGAGGAGAAGTGGATGGACGAGAGAGGAGACGGGAAACAGAAAAGGTGATCAGACAGAAGGTGAATCAAGGGCAGCCAACACTCCTGGGCACCTGCGCTAAATGCCTCAGAAACATTCTCCTGTAACAGACGGTGGAAAACAGTCAACAAGCCGAGACGTTTAAAATGAGGAGTTAAGAGAAAGAGCACACACACATCTCCAAGCCCCTCATTCCTTTTCCTGTTTTAGGTTTTACCTGAGAAATAAGAAAGACAGGCAAAGATAGCAATTGCTGAGAAGTTAGGAAAACGTTTTCACAAAGTAACATACTCCTTCCCAGGCAAAGGGGTTTGCCACAGACAGGCTTGATTTCTTTTTGTTTCATATGATAATTACCTATTAAATTACATCTTTAAAGGCAACAGGGCAAAGGCAAACAAGCAGAATTCAGGATGTAAATGTGCCAAGTAGCATTTGGTGCTTCACTTAAAACACACACACACTCTCACCTCTCTCCATTTACATCTTACAAATACACATTGTAGAATTTTTCTGGCATGGTGCTGTCCATTGCTGGTCTATTGCTGCTCCAGAATTATTAAGGAATGATTATATGGTTGTTCCAGAATACTATATTTTCCCTCAAAAAGTTAAGACTAGAAGATTGTTTTGTTTGGGTTGCTTTGTTTTTCATGTATCCTCAATAAAAGGAGGATTTTATTTTAAAGTCGTTTTGAAAAATGAAAACTTTATTTGGTCAACTTCCTTCAAAGCAAAATATTATTTATTCTACTTTCAAAAACAAAAAACCCTGCTCAAATTAAGAAAACAGGTGAGTTGTTTCTTAGCTGCTTCTTTCTTCTTTAAAACCAAAATCTTGGTTCTGCTGGAATTTTTTTTTCCCCTTTCAAATTCCCATTCCTTTATAAATGAGAAACTTTGCAACACAAACAGCTAAAGGGATCCACATGTCCCAAAACATCATTTGAAACAACCAAAATTTTTACTGTTGATGCACACAATTAAACCTCTCTGGTAGAGAAGGAATCATGAAAATAAATTAAATACTAATCAAATAAGTGTTTTGCATAATATCCCCTAAAATCTTAGTTTGAATGTTTGTATGCCTGTACCTTGTTCCAGAAAACAGCAAATGATATGGGTCAAATATTAGAATCAATAGGAATAGGAACCCAAAATACACATGAATTTCTTATGGATGGGCACATATTAAGAAGAATAATGTAAAAGCACATTTGATGAAACATATATAAAAAGGTTATCACAAGATAATGTTTGTCAGAATAAAGTGTTTCCAAATGCTGGAAACGTCTACATTGCCAACTCATCACATTATTTGCAAACTATACTCCTCTCCTCTGCCCACAATTATGACCACCAGAAAAAAGGCTCAACAGAATGAAGGGCAGGCTAATTTCCTATTAGAAATGTTTTTCATTTTCAGTACAGCCTTAGCCACAGAAAACCTGAAGCCAACTTTCAACATTAATGAGGCATCCACTCTAGAACTTAAAAGGCAAACAGTAAATATCCTACAAAGGAAGAGGACAAGGTTTAGCCCTTACATTCAATGCAGATGAAAACCAAACTCTTCCATCTCCCTGTCTTAATATTTCTTTTCAACGTAAAAATGTTAAGCAATTTTACAGAAGATGCACAGTAGCCCCTATATGATCTATGTGGGGGTCTCTAAACAGGCCTTAGCAAGAACAGACAACTGTAAGGCTGACACGGTGGGATGAATTTTCATAACTCTTAACTCAATAATGGGTCCCAGATGCAGGCAGACTTCACTGTGTAAAAGCAGCCATGCCTGTGAGGTGATGGGTCCGTGTGTGGGTAATATTTCATAAATCTTCATTCAGAAACAAAATGTCACCAATAATTACTTTTTAAAGAGAGTCATAGACAGACAGCTCTTTCCCTAAATCTGTAAGCCTAAAGCAAGCTCTTACTTCTGAATCTTTTTAGGGCAGCAGGAATAAAAATTGATGTTTCCCACTGCTACTTATGTTGCCTTGGTATTGTGAAATCACAGAACTAAAGTACACAGGGCAACTTGATAAGATCACCCTTAAGAGTTCTGAGAAATTACCTTGAAATGAAGGGCTTAGCCCCTGGATTAACAAATATTTTTGTAGAACTGTCCCTTCTAGAGACTGACCTCAGTATATAGTCAAAAGAGAACTTCCATAAGGAGATCAAGGTTCTTACAAACGAACTTCACAAACCTCAGAACTGGTATTAACAGGATATATGTCTTGGAAATACTGAAGTACTTCATTTGGGAAACTCAGGGGGAAAAGCTCTCTGGAGTGGCTGCTCCTGTAGATTTACCTGACCATCAGGCACATGTCCACTCCTGTGCCCAGACCTCTCCCTCCCAGGAGTGCATCCCTACAGAAGCAGAGGGAGGAGAGGGAAGGGCCCTGGGGCAGAGGCACAGAATTCGAGCACCAGGTTAAAAGCAGTTTTGTCTTCTGACTTTGTCACCATGAAACGCACCTGCTGTGATGTCCAGTTGAGCTACTGGAGGTCCTCTGGCTGCTTCTGGAAAGTGATGCTGGCATAGGCGCTTAGATCCTCGCTGGAGCGGCTGGTGGGGCCACTCTGACTACTGCCCAGAGGCTGATGAGGGGCCGGGAGTGGAGGAGGCTGCGGTTGAGGTGGGCACTCTTGAGGGCGCTGTTTGAAGTCCTTGACCAAATCCAGGTCTATGTAGTTAAGACCATTCTCCAAACCGCCAGCGGCCCCGCACACTTGGGCCAGCTCCTTGGGGGCTCCCCCGAGCTCCCCAGGCCGCAGCCACACGTTCTCGAAGGAAGCAGAGCTGTGGCGTTTGACATCCTCGGCGCTGCTGCTGCCGCCACCACCACTGCCCCCAACTGCAGCCCCAGCTCCGAAGGGCACTGTGTTGCCCACCCGAGTGGCACTGGGTGTCGAGGAGAAGGTCTCAGAGCTGTGCCGCCTCCTGCACCCTTGCGGGTCGGCACGGATCACTTTGGCACTCTGGTTGCGGTTGGGACTGAGGTTCACCCGCGTGAAGGCGCTCGGGCCCCCCAGCAGGGCCGAGCGGGCCGCCAGCTCCCCTGGTCCCGGAGGGGCAGTGGAGGAAACAGAGGCCGTCGAGGATGAGGAGGGAGCGGCCGCGGTGGCCCCGGGCAGGCTGGCTTCCTCCACAACGACGCCCGTCCGCATGTCGGCGTAGCTGATGGGCGCGACGGGTGAGGTGTCCACGTAGTTCTGCCGGGGACCGCCCATCTGCATGGTCATGTAGTCGCCGCGGCTGCTGGGCACCGCCCTGGTCGGCCTGCACACGCTAGCAGCTCCAGGGGGCGCCGGGCCCACCCTGCCCGGCTGAACCCCCACGCTCTCCTGCCAGGTGGCCCTCCGGCCTGGCCCCAGGTCCATGTTCATATACTCTTCTGCGCCCGTCTCCTCCTCTCTGGGAGCTGGCTGGAGCTGGGACGGACACCTGATGGAAGGCGAGCTGTGGGACACCACCGGGCCCGATAAGTAGCCTGGCTGATCGCTCGCAAATTCAATATTCACATACTCCCCTGGGCTCTTGGGCTCCGGAGGGAGCAGCAAGGGGGGTGGGGGCTGCTGCTCTCGGGCCCGAGGTAAGGTGCTGGCCTTGGGATCCCCCAGAGACAGCCTCGTGGGCCGAGCCAGGCGGTTGTTGGTCTGGGCAGCTGTGTCCACCTTTCGAGGCAGATGGGCCTGCAGGACCTGATGATGGAGATGCGGGAGCCCGGGCTCCGGCCGAGCCCCACAGTATCCCCCGCCCAGGCTGTCGCTGCTGGTGGACGAGGAGGAATCTTCTGCGGCCGCCGTGTAGAGGAGTCGACCGGAACTGGAGGAGAGGCGGAGATGCTGGGGGTGCCGGGTCTCCTCCAGCTCCCCAGGGCGCTGGGTGTGCTTAAAGGACCTTGGCAATGAGTAGTAGGAGAGGACGGGCTTGTGCTGGGGGTCCTCGGGGCCATAGTAGCAGTCGGAGGGGCTGCTGGTGTTGGAGTCCCCGACGGGCGACATGTTCATATAGTCACCTGTACAAGACAAGAGTTTGCCACTACCGCTCTCCACCGGGAGTTTGGGGTGTGGCAGGGCGTGAGAGTGGTGGCCCCCTACGCCATTTGCCCAGAGTTTGCCATAGCTGCTCCCAGAAGGGGCGGCGCCGCTGCTGCTGCCGCCGCTGCTGGGCCCACCTCCAATGTCAGGAGAGCAGCTGCCGCTTGGGGACATCATCATGTAGCCGTTGGGGTCCACTCTCTGGGGATGGCGTCTGATGGGGTTGATGATCTGCTGCGGGGCAGACACGCTCTTGGGGCTCATGGGCATGTAGTCCCCACTGCCTTTCCGGCTGCCGGGCACCGGGGCCACCCCTGGGGACATGGGCATGTAGCCATCATCGGTGTGAAGGCTGGAGGTGTCTGGGCGGTGGTGGCCCCCACGCCGCTCCAAGGGGTGCATTTCCAGACCCTCCTCTGGGTAGGAGTGGGTGGGCACGAAGGCGGAGTGCCGGTAGCTGGGCACTCGGCCTCCACTGCCACCTCCTGGTGGGTAGGTGGGCATCATTTCGGTGTATTCCTCAATGGAAGCCACAGAGGCCTGAGACGGGGTCTTCTGGTGGGAAATGGTAGGCGAGGTGCCCGCAGAGTGAGTCCGCTTTCGGAACCGATTATCCAGATCTGCCACACCGGCTGCTTCTTCTCCTGGCAGGGCTGGGCTCGTGCCCAAGCCGGCAGCTGGCACATAGCGGTGACCATTGCCACCCCGGGGCAAAATGTAGTTACCATTGGGGGCAGTGAGGGTGGAGGCCCCCTTGCCGCCCATGCAGATGTAGTTGCTTAGCTCCTCCTCACCCCGGGCAGGCGGGGTGTGGCCCAGGGAATCTGGGGTGACGCTGCGGAAAGAACTTCGGAAATCGCAGGGACTGGAGCCATACTCATCGGAGGAGATGAAGCCGCCATCACTGGGGGAACCAGACACAGAAGCACTAGACCGCCGCGGGAAGAGGCAGTCTGAGGTGGAGCCGTGGCCACTCGTGCTGCTAGACGACAGACTGACCGGGCTGGTGGCGGAAGGCGAGCAGCGAGAAGAAGGCATGGGGATGGAGCGGCTGTGGTTGAGAGGCGGGTGCAGCCGGGAGCTGCCTCGATGGCGGTGGGCGTGGGTCCTGTTGGTGCTAGGACTCACAGGACTGCCGTCCACAGAGGCGGGGCGAGACATGGTGCCTTCGCCATCACTGGAGGCACGCACGCGGAAGGAGCCCTGCTTCCCGCCCACCAAGCTGGCCGGGGAGGTGGCCGTGATGCTCTCGGTGCGCGAGCGGCGGGTCAGCCCCACCTGGCTGGGTGGAGGGTTGTTGAGGTGATGCCTCCGCAGCGGCACACTGATGGGGTTGGAGCAGTTGGAGGAAGACTGACTCTTGCTTCGAGGGCGGAACTCATCGCTCATGGCCCGCATGGCCTCCAAGATTGTCTCGTGCATGTTCTGGGCCACCACGGAGTCGTCCACCTGCATCCAGAACTCCCCCGGGCCCGTCACTGCGGAACGGCCCACTTCGATGAAGAAGAAGTTCTCTGAGTGGCCGCAGCGCCTGATGTTCATCAGCTGCAGCACCACGGCCGCCGCCTCCGAGTTCAGCTTCACGAAGCTGATGGTCTTGCTGGTCAGGCAGAGGCGGTAGATGCCAATCAGGTTCTTTGTCTGACCCAGGCCCTTGGGTTTCAGGATCACCTGCCAGACCTCCTTGAAGGCGGGTCCTGGGGGCACGTCCCCGTAGCTCAAGTCCTCCCCGGCCTCCCCGAGGCCGGAGCTGCCACTGCAGCTGCCCCCGCCGCCTCCGGCCCCAGGCGCCGCGGCCCCGTCGTGGTGGCCCTTGGCACGGTTGTGCAGCTGCAGGAGGGCCTGGTACCAGCTGTCCTGCTCGGCCTCGCTGTCTGCCGCGATGGCAAAGTGCTCGTCCCTGGTGTAGAGGGCCACCAGGTGCTTGTTCTTGGAGTCCGCCCGCTTGTTGATGTTGAAGCAGCTCTCCAGGGGGATCGAGCGTTTGGGGGCGCTCGACTTGTGCCGCCACTTCTTCTCGTTCTCGTAGTACTCGAGGCGCGCCGGGCCCCCAGCCTCGCTGGCCGCCCGCAGCACGAAGAATCGCTTGTGCATGCTCTTGGGTTTGCGCAGGTAGCCCACCTTGCGCACGTCCGAGAAGCCGTCCGTCTCCGGAGGGCTCGCCATGCTGCCGAGCAGAGGGAGGCGCCGAAAAACAACCGGGTGGGGGGCGGAGGCTCCTAGCCGCGGCCCCGCACATGCAAACAGGGCTGGAGGCGGCAGAAACCCCGACTCCGAAATCCACGCCGCCCTCTGCGCCGGGGAGGGGCGGTCGAGGGAGGACGCAGCAGCTGCGCCAAGGAGATAGCCCCGACCCGAGTTTACTGGCGTTTCATGCCCTGGGGGGGAGGCAACGCGTCCGGCGCGAGTGCAGCCCGGATCCCCCGAGAGCCAAGTCTCCTCTCTGCCGCCGCGATCGGGAAGAAGCTAAGATGCATCTCTCGCCGCCGGGGCCAGAGTCCGGCGCTGGCAGGCGGCGGCCCGGGCGGGCGGGCGAGATTGGGGCGGGGGGGGGGTCCTCGCCTGGCCCCTCCAGGCGCGCGCGCGCGCCTTCCCTCCGGAGTTCCTCTCTGGAAGTAGCGATTCCCGAGGCAAATTAAATATCCTTGGGCAGGGGGAGGCGAGCTGCCAAGTCCCAACGTTGCACGGGGTTCTCCCTCCTCCTCCTCCTTCGCCTCTTCCTCCGCCTCCTCCCACCCCCCGACCGTCCCCGCCGCCACCAGCCGCCCAAATACCAGCTCAATCGCGGAGACCGCGGCGCTGCGGCTGTTGCTGTTGCTGCCGCAGCCCGCGGACGCGTCCTCTGCAGCCCCCGATCGGGCCCATGTCGGCGGGCGGAGAAAGTGGCTTTTCCACGCGAAACGCGACTAGGCAGCCGGGGAAGCTGGGGGCGCGCCGAAGGGACAGGCTCATCCCTGCCCCTCGCTCCAGTCGGCCGGGGAGGAGGGGAGGGGATGAGGGCAAAGACGCAGGAGTGAGGGTGGGGGGCGACGGGGGGGCACTGCGGCTACTGGGCCCTGCGTGGGAGGGCCCGGGTAGGGGGGGGACTTGAGAGCTGGGCTGGATCTTACCTAACAGGTAAGAGCAGCCCCTCCGGAAAGTGTTTCTTCCCTCCCTGGAAATCTTTTCAGTGTGATAGGCCATGGTGAGATCTGTATTTTCGTGAGGTTTTACTAAAGGACTTCTGGGCCAGCCTTTCACCTTGGAATCCCCGAATTTGCTGCAGTGAAGTACCACGACAGAACAGAGGGACGCCCAAGGGCAACGACTCGGGGAGGGAAGGAGGAGGTTATGGTCACTCCCACACTAGAAGAGGGAGCCCGGGGAAGTGTCTTGTGTCCGGAGTGGTGGGGTTAGCTGCTGATCCATTAGGGAGAGAATGTAAATATCACAGCTTCTCCCCACCCCATCCCACTCCCGTCTCACCCTAGCGAGCGGTCGGGGAGTCACACCTTGGGAGTGAAGGCTTGGGGAGAAAATGAGACTCCCCTTATCACATTCCGAAACCTATTTGTGATTTAAAAAAAAAATGTTAGGGACCTACAGGGGGTTCGTAAGGCCAAAACCCTACTGGATAAACATTGGCCGAAGTGTCTGTTTCACACACAGCTTCCACACCCATCGAATCACCCCATAAAATTTTTACCCTTGACTACAAGGATAATCGGGAGAAAACAAGGACGGTGCCAGCTGAGTTGTACAGGAAAATGGGTGTTTCGTGGGTAGCAGAGGTCAGCAGCTTGGGTCTACCTGCGGAGACTCTTAGGCTGTTAGCTTGCGGTATCAATCACCACAAGCAAACGCTCCCCAAAGTTTTTTGTTTGTTAAGGTGATCTACAGATCATTAAGGACCCTTTAAAAAATGACTCCTCGTCTGTTTGACGTTATCTTATTTTACCACCCCAGTCCTGACCCGTTTGGGGGGTCTCCACCACCCCCTCCGCGCAGGAGACCCTCCCCAGTCGCCAGCTCTCAAGCACTGCCCGATGCTCGCGACAGTGGAGGCGCTGGGCATGCGCTGGGCAGGAAGGACCCGCCGGGCTGCGGAGGAGCCAGCCTGGGCCTAATACCGGGCTGAGGGGCGGGGAGAGTTTCTTAGGGTAGCCTGCTGATTGGTGCGGCTGCCTGTCTTTCAAACCTTGCACTGCAGGAGGGGAGGTGGGGAGAGAGGGTGAGGGTACCAAGGTAGGTTGCAAAGCGTAGTAAAAAAAAAAAAAAAAAAAAAAGAAAGAAAAGAAGAACTAAAGGCGCCATTCAGCAGCGTGTGAGATACGTGAACTGGGGTGCCCGGTATCTGTGGAGGAGCTACACCCCACCAAAGCCTGGGAGCTTTTCATTTCTTCCCTCACCTTCTTATGCCCTGCCATCATGCAGCCTCAACTGAGCCTCGTTCATCTGTAATTTGTGTACACGCTGTTGAATTGAAAGCCCGCCCTTCTCTCCCTCTGACAGCTTGGTGATGTGGGCACACGTGCCCACAACAGCAAAGCTATAAATAGCAGATGTGATCCGGTAACTAGGCGGCAATGACAGTGACCGGGATTCTGGGGGGAAAGCGTGTTTTATGGCGAGTACAAGAAGGGAATGCGAATAGGAAAGTCTGAAGTTAGTAGTAAAGTAATTGTGGGGTTTTACCCTTTGGGGGGGGGGTGGGTAAAAGTGTTGTTTACTAGTAATAATGTAATCTAAGGCCAAAGGGCTTTTTACAGGTTTGATGTTTAGCGCAGGGTGGGGGTGGAGAATATTTCACATTTTGTAGGAAAAATAATCCAAACCCATTTACTTTAGAAATGATGCTCCTCTTCAAAAATAAAGCTAAATGAAGGTAGTATATACCTCTATGGGAAACAAAATACTCTTTTCAAGGAGAAAGAGGGATCTGAAAGATCAACCTAATTTGCAAATATTTTAGGCAAATCTTCACAGAAAGGTTAGAATTTTGATCACATAAAAATGTTATTTTTTTTTATTATAAAAGCGTTGAAAAAAAAAAACTCTGTGGGAAAGGATCTCTGCTCTAAAAGCCCAACTTCAGTGGCTAATATATTCATTAGAAATCATAAAATAAGTCAGATTGCTGACATTTTTTTTCCAAATCCATGGATTTCCCATCATAGATAATCACTGATGGTAAGATGTTCTTGTCCTTTCTTCCTACTTGCTGATGTTTTACTACCAATGTTAAAGGTGTTTAATAATTAAAATTATACTATAGTAATTCATATTTCTTTACTTTCTTCTTTTATTAATGGGTTGAGCTAACTCTGGAAATGCATATATGGTTTATATACAGAATAGAAAGGATGCTTTTGTGGAAACTAACTGAATTAATTTTGAGCAGGTATAAGTATTATCCTGCCAGCCTATGCTAAATTAGTCTTGTGGTGTACTATAATGAAATATACTGTATGAAAAATTGACTCCCAACTGAAAATTCTCAGAAACCAAAACAGCATCGTTACCAAACACTAATCTATTGCTCAATGCTGCCATCTATAGGACACTTAGAGATGACTTGCATAACAGGCTAGAGTGTGATAGTATTAGTCTCTCAGTTATGTCTAGAGACATGCAACCCCATGGATTCTAGCTGGCCAGGCTCCTCCATCTATGGAATTTCCCAAGCAAACATACTGGAGTGGGTTGCCATTTCCTCCTCCAGGGGATCTTCCTGACTCAGGGATTGAACCCACAACATACAGAAGTATAAGTTACTGGCAAAAATAACCAAAATGAGAATTGAGTAGGCTGAAGGGTCAACTAACCATTTGAAAATTAGAAAGTATTTCTTATATCAAAGTGATGCTTTACTTCAGTGAAATAGATTGCGACTGGAGGAGCTGTTTAAATATTACCAACTCTAGAATTAGTTTTGACCATTTAGAATGATCCTTGGAGGAAAATAAAATTGTGTAGATTTTCTAACTTTAGTAGTTTTTTTAAATTTTAAGATTGCTCTCAGTAGTAAGCAATATTTGAATGTCTACTCTTCAAGACAGCATGAAAAGTATAAAAAGAAGCAGCTTTTAACAGTTTTGGTGGGGTAATAAGAGAGATACAAAATAAAGATAATTGATAACTAAAGTGTGTGTGTGTGCCCGCGCGCGCGTGCACGTGAATGCATGCGCATGCTAAGTCACTTCAGTCATGTCTGACTCTTTGGGACCTATGGACTGTAACCCACCAGGGTCCTCTGTCTGTGGCATTCTCTAGGCAAGAATACTAGAATGGGTTGCCATGTCATCCTTCAGAGTAACTTCCCAACCCAGGGACCAAACCCTCATCTCTTACATCTCCTGTATTGGCAGGCAGGTTATTTACCACTAGCATTAAATGTCAAATAAGTGGTATTTACTTAGAGCAGGTGGAGATTATGCTAGGTAAAATAACTAAAGAAATATTTTGGAGGAAAGGAGCCTTAAGCTTGAATCTGAAGTGTGGATATAATTCATAAGTGATTGGTAATTTTTTTCCCCCACTCAGGCATTTTGGAGTACTTCCTTGGGTTAGGCGTTAGGCTGGCCACAGAAGATCTAAATACCCTAAGAGGATCCTGCCCACAAGAAGCTTACAGTGAAGAGAGACAAACGAATACAGTTCAAGGTACTGGGGTCTCAGGCCCCTGTGATCGACAGAGCGCCGTGATCTCAGGTGAGATTCCATAAAAACCAACTGCCTTCTGATTTTAAAAGTCATAAGTCACAGAGTCAACTTGAGGCCCTTCAGTTGTCTCTCTCCTTAATAACCTTATTTTCTCTTGTAATTATAATCTTTCATCCTTTTGGATTAAAAATGTGAAAGTGAAATTAAAATAGTGAGCTGAAAAATCACATTTAGCTGGAAAATTTGCAAGATCAATGCATCTCAAACCTGAGGATCTTGTTAAAATGCAGGTTCTGATTTAGAAGGTCTAGGGCAGGCTGAGGTCTGCATTTTTTACATACTCCCAGTGATGCTGATTCTGCTAGGGAGTAGATGTGAGCAGTACACTTTCAGTAGTGAAGTTCTAGGTGATTGATTGTTCATTTAAAGGCACTGTAATATGATGCTGTGAAAGTCAAGCAAGATACTTACATTTCAGGATTGTATGCATACCAAGAACAACAACAATAAAAAAATCTACTTAACTAGGACAATACAGAATGGAGGTTTCTCTCTTTTCAATCCCAAGTATTATATCTTTCTGACAAGTGTGAAGAGTTAATTCTCTCTCAAGCATTTGTGTTAGTGTTTTCCAAAGTGTGAATATAAATGCACTGTGAGTGCTCAGTCAGGTCGCCAGCTCTTTGTGACGACTGGACTGTAGCCCACCAGGCTCCTCTGTCCATGGGATTTTTCAGGCAAGAATACTGGAGTGGATTGCCATTTCCTCCTCCAGGGGACCTTCCCCACTCAGGGATCGAACCCGAGTACCCTGCACTGCAGACACATTCTTTACCCCTGAGCCATCG